AAGTAAATATTGCTTGAGCCAACACTTACATGTACAAAATTGTGTAAAATAAATATTGCTTAAGCCTATAATACATGTACCACTATCCCAAAGACAGTCAAGACGTCTAGAATTTCTTAACTTGGAAAAAAATTAACTTCAGAAATTCATTCTGTCATGGATTTTCAAATAACTTTTTTTCTCGATTTACATTTTCGACTTAAATTGACAAATAAAAATTGTTCTCAATTTTGCCGAGGATTTAAAAGGCAAAATAAAAACAAGTTAATTTAGCTATTTCTTTATTGAGCTCTTACAATGAATTAATGCCTGGAACAGAAGACAAAACATATCTCCACGGGGATAAATAACAGCCTGTTTTATTTTCTTGTCAACTACGTCATGGGCACAGTAGCAAATATGAACAAATAGGATTGTCCTTATAATGTTCACATATGTCTCTAGTGACTGACTCACATTCTCGGAATAATTTACGGCAGGAATTTTGTTTCATAATAATATTTATGTTAAATATATCATATTTAGAAAACCTGACCACAAAATATGCAGCATTTAAATTCATAGAGGGAATACAAAAACGATGATGCTTCAGAAAGTTATGCCAGAGCACGCATTATAGGTATAATTAATGTCATTTCAAATGTAATTACAATAACACGCACACAATTTCTAAAACTGATATAATTTTATTTTTCAAAATCTTTTATATTTATTTGTAATATCCAGTTGCAGTTTATGGACTGTTACTCACTAGTCATAAAGCTGATCTATCTTTTTTGCAATTTTTTACAATTCATATGTAGTTCAACTGAAGGGTAATTCTAATTTGTATTTGAAGTGTTTTCGTTCTCTTTTTTTCCATTGTAATATGGAATATGTTTTTTTATGACAATTGTCTTCATATTCAGCGATACTCTCACCAAATGATATACATCTAGCATACTAGTACGATATTAAACATTTATTTCATTAAGTAATTTTTTTGATAAAGTGCCGATATACACAAACATTACAAACCCTTGACATGTACTTATTTTAGTTAGAAACAAAACCTTCATAGGAAATCCAAATTAACGAAGGCTTGTTGCTCGTTCTGGTGTCAGCTTTTTTGAAAAGTAATTATCTTGATTTTCATTTTTTTTGTTGAAATGGGAATTAAATGCCGGTTCGTGTCAGCATTCATAATCATCAAATGTTCTTTTATTGGCACAAATCTGCAAATGCTGTATGGCGTAAATTGTAGGGAATAAGTAATTTAGATATTTTCTGTAAATCTATTTTTGCTTATGCACCATAAAAGATTATAGAACACACATTCTAGAAAAGGGAAGACCCTCGGGGAAAATGATTACAAAAACAAAGATGAATATAATAGACCTGGTTCAATTATGTTTATTGATTAGAGATTATGGAAACACCACCTCTTACAATGAAAAAGCATTTTCAAACAAACAAACACCTTCAAAACAAAAGTGTTGGAAACAATGATCCCGAATCAACACTAAGACACATCATATGCCCGAGGCATCATTTCTATTAGCTGCTATCTGACGTGTTAATTAGATTCATTCAATTTTTGTTCTTCTAATTCTTTATTGGGATAAAAATAGCCTGTACATGACAGAAATAATACTTTATAAACACAACATTCCCCAGGCAAAACAATATGGTAAGGAATAGTGCCAGGCTTAATGTGTTTGATTAGAAAGTAATTGTTATTTGTAAACAGCATGTGCTTATGCAAAGAAAGAGCCAATATGATATCATATTATAAAATATGATAACAAGATCAACAAGGAAAGGCGGCGTTCAATGAACACAGCAAGTCGAACATGATAACGTTTTCACTATTCGGTCGTACTATTATGACAATAAATTGTACAAGTTATCTTATAATACAATAAAAGTGAAAATGGACACGTAAGTCTTAGTCGAGTAGTGGTTAGAGTTCATTTTATGAAAATGATGTCTTGACTTCAAATCTACAAACTTCATCCGAACGCACATGTTTTAATAATTTGCCACATAGTTGTTCATTTTCTCTTTTATATACAGAAAGATACTCAAAAGATTATTAAGAGTTACAAAAAATAATAAATTGAAAAAAGGCCTTTCCGGATTTGATCCAGGGTCTCTTCATTAATGAAACGAACACTCTATCTCTGTGGAAGGCATAATGGATATAAATCATTTTAGGAGATAAATAGTATGTTTCATATAAGAATTATCGACAATAAAATAGTTACCACTGACACATTTATGAAGTCATAATTTTTGATTGGCACATATCAAAACAATTGACGCGTTAATAGTTATTATAAGTGGTTTCAGATTTATTCGTTTTATAATGAATACGAATTTCATTCTGAGTGTGTATGTATTGGTCCATCTTTGACATATTTGAGAGGCCCAAATTATGTTAATCAAACTGTGTCTAATTACAACTTTAAATCAATGCCGTATACTTCCAGAATAAATTGGTATAATAACAAATTGATAATCAAGCAAGTTGCAAAACTAAAGTTTTTTATGCACTGGAGTTTTGTGAATGTCTAAGTAAAAATATTCAAATTCAAACGAGTACGTAATTCTTAATTTTTTGTTTTCGCCTAATGTGGTTCAGTGATTATATTCTAAGGTCATGCAAAGTTTTTAATTTTGTTAATTATATGCAGTAAGTATACAATGAAGTTCATTAGCTATATATTTCAGCAACATCGACCACATTCTCTTTTCGCAATATACCACACTATATACTTGTAATCAATTTATCAGTGTACACCAAAGTGTTTCAGTCATGTCTTGGTATTTTCTCCTGCTTACTTTGAAACCTTTTTTACAACATTAAGATCATTAAAGAATGACCAATGGGGATTTCATTGATATTATTGCATGCTTATACTTTTGATGTTGCTTTTATAATGCTAGCCGTCACCAAAAGAACGACCTATTCGGTATAACATTCTATACAATGTTTATATTTTCATTGCGGTAAAACGATTATATAGCATTATGTGAAAATGGAATATAAATATTTATCAGCAGGGTATTTATGGAATCTGCAATGTTTTACATTTTGTTATCTCATTTAACTTCTTTCTCATTTGTTTTGCCCATTTTATTTATGCTCGTATTTTGATAAATAAAAATTGCTAACAAACGTATAAACAACATTTTAACCTTCTTATAGTTTTGTATCATACAATCAACCATAGAATTTAACATGATGAATAAAATTTTCAAACTTTGGAAATCAATTATGTACACATACTTTCTTTGTGATAGTTGAGATAAATACCATTTCTGAGGTAAAGAAAGAGAATAAAAGAGTTTGGATATTGTGAGATCTGGGAAAATAATATATGATAGGTAAATGTAAGATTGATCTGTTAAACACAAGCCAGATGATTATACAAACGAATTGTATCAGTTGAATGTTTGCTAATGTACTTAACCTCATAAAGAGAAACAACTTGTTGGACATGAAATTAAATTGTTTCGGGTTTGTTTGTAGTTGTTGCTGTTTGTTTTTTTTTTTTTGTTTTTTCCGCGAATTAAGAATACGATGGTGTTAATGATAACTATCTTTATGTAAATATTTGTCTTCTCTTTATGAATGTAGACTTTTCTCTGTTATATATGACCAATGCTACTAAGATAAATTGATATATGATATATAATACATATAGAGTTATATATATATATATATTTCTATGTCACACCATTGTATTCCAAAACATTTTTTTATTAAATCTATACATGTATTTAAATTCTAAGAAACGTTTTAACATTCGCCCCTTTTTAACAAATAGAAAATTTGATAAATGTAACAAAATATCAGATAATGTAAAATCTATTTCTCTCGATTTAAGAGGAATGTAAAACATCAAAGAAAAGCAAGGAGATGATTTTGAATAACAGCCAAATTCTGTAAATAATGTTTTTTCTTTTTTCACTCCTGTTTTGACAACAAATATAAAATTTTAATGTTCACGTAAAAACTTGGTTATTCAGCATTAGCAAAATGACTTCGGCAAAGAAATAGTGAAAAATAGAATCCCTAAAGCCATTAATCTAGTGCTTAATTTACTTTAAACTTATGATCAGGAACTTTTTTTTCACATGAATGTAAACTGTTCCGGGGTTCTTTTGTTTTGCACGAATTAGGAATTAGATCTATCTTATTAGATCTTGTAATACATCTATTTGTATTTGAAATACTTTTTTACATTTTTAAACCAGAATATATCATATTGAATAGACACATCTTAACGAAACTAATAAGATAAAATGTAATTTCGAATTGAACTGAAATTCTGATATTTTCATCGTCCCGAAAGATAGAAAGTAATCTACCAATGCTTAAACTTACCTCAAGGTAAACAGTAAAATATAAACGAAATAAAATACATGCAAAATGTACTTAGAAATACGAGAATTGAAACAATGGTCATATAAATTTCATAAAATTCGGAACCATATTCGGGATGTTTATAAGGAATGAAGGGACAACCCATCATATCAATATGCCATTTCTTTCGATATTAAAGCTAAAATTAATATTTTAAGAAATATTTTGAATATTCCTTTCTGTGCTGTACAAATAATGAATTAATAAATAATTTTGCAAATTACATAATGCTTAGTATTTATAATAAATTCAGGGGGAAGTCTAACATCAAAGTAAAATCAGATGTGTTTGTATAACAGCCAAAATGTGTAAAATGATGTTTTTCTTTAACGCCTATTTTAACAAATAATTAATTTGGTGTTCACTTTTAATCAACATTTAGGATAAACAGTTCAGATTCTGCGTATGTCTTAATTTGCATCAGCTGTTTTATATTGGACTCAGGCATGGTGAATGCCGTTGTACAAATTTTCCAAAACCAAGGTTTAAGATGTATTTCATCTTAATTTTGCTATATCATTTAATGAATAAATACTGTAAATTCATATATATTCATTTACGAAAAGCATAGCACTAAATCGAATACGAGAAATAATTTTATTCACGACAAAAAACATAACATCACCTTTTACTGAAAATGAAAACTGTTGTCATTGAACAGAAAACATAATATCTTAACAAACAATTGAGTAATGTCGATATAATGTTAGAAATTTTCATTCCACTATTGACGAACAGAAGGACAAACTTTCTTTTGTAAGCCATTAAATATTTACAAACATTAAACTAAGTTATAAAAAGCTGACATCTTATAAGCTTCTGTTTCGTTTTTTTTTTTTTCTTGGAATCATTTCATTTATTTCTAATTGGAAAATATTATCAAAATGGGTTATCTTTCTTGTACTATACAGCCTTAGAATCGCTTTAACAAACATGTTATTAACGCCCCTTTGGAGTGCTGTCTTGTTTTAATTTGCCTGATTTCTTTCCTCCGAAAGTTTTACTTTTTCATTTAAATTTATCAAAAGAATCCGAAATATTAAAATTGTAAATAAAATCAGAGAGAAAATGTATATTGAGCGTTAATAACTTTTGATTGTTTATCACAGTCATATGTCTTGCTTTACAGCGAACATGTTTGATGATTTATTACTGAAACTTTAATATCATTTGCTATGTCCACAATATTTATAGCTTTTACGTTTTTATTGTCTATAACTTGTGAGTACTTATGCCATTTGGTGTATTTACGGCCTCCCCGTTGTCGCAAAAGGAAAGAAGTTCCGGCAACTCTGTGAAAGTTTTAAGAGATCCACTTGATCCGCTTATGTCCGTTACACTCCGCGAGATATCACTGCTGGGATTTACTGCCGTATCTGTCAAGAACTCTGATTGTTCTTTCGTCGACATGTCGGTATCAACTTTGTATTTATCGCATACCTTTGAAATAGTCGTTTTGTTTATTCCAGTACTGCTTTTAGACTGCCTTCGATGATAAGCCTTATCCGCTCTACACAATGTTCCATTGATATCAGTGCCCGGATGTACACGTTTAGGTCTCGGTAAACAAAATTTAAAGCGAGATTTTACTTCCGCGCGAAATGTCTCATTCAACCAACAATACACGAAGGGATTGTAGCACGTTGAACTTACAGCGATCCAATGACAAATGAAAAATGTTGTACTGTCATAATGAAATACTTTTGCGTTTGGATGAAAATCTGCTAAAACTTGGTAAAGATTTAAAGGCATCCAGCAAATAGCAAATATTACAACCACACATATAAGGAGCTTAATGCTCTTACGTTTAGCTTTCTGTTGAGATGCCTGTTGGTTTTGTGTAACAGCTCCTACATGTGTTCGAACCCATAGTTTTCTAACAATCCGACCATAAGTTATTCCAATCACTGTAAGAGGAATCACATACTGTAAGAGTAAGGTTCCAATCGTAAGATACTTCTCCCATCGTTCACTTGGATACGGAAACGACGGCGTGCATCTTGAAGCATTATTGAGTAAGAAATTCACGGTCTGTACTTTATTATAGATACCGTACGGTAATGAAAGACCTATAGATAGCAACCAAATTAATCCAAGCACAGATATGCCAAATGGTCTGCTCATCCTCGGATGTAATGGGTACAATAATACTTGTTGTCTATCTAAAGCAATACCAAGCAATGTAAATGTTGAAACATATGTCGACACCATCAAAGAAAAGTTCAGTAAATGACACATAACTGAACCAAAGGGCCATTCCTCTAAGAAATTCCGTGCAATATTAAAAGGAACGTTTATGCACGTGACGAGTAGATCAGCCACGGCAAGATTTGCTATGAAAAAATTAGTCACTGTCCACATCCGACGGTGTACGAATATGACATGGCACACTAGTATATTTCCGAACAGAGATATTGCTATTAACAGTCCGTATGCAAAGATAAGCAGAATTTGTCTCCATCCGATGGTTTCTCCCTCATCAAGTAGTTCGCCAGTAATATTCTTCGAACCATTCAATAACGCCTCTAAGTTCTCGTGATCAGTGGAATTAGATCTCCCGTATATAAAATTTTTGATCTCGTCTAGGAACGCCATCATAATTCTCTATGAGCTGAAATATATCAAAATGTAAACAACTAATTAAAAGCTCCACGCGATTCATTTAAAAGACAAAAGTTCAACCACATACAGCAGCATATAAAATAAAAAAACATTATTATTTCATGTTGTACTATTTGGTGTCAACAAATGATTAAATCGTTTGCAATTGTCAATGATTTACCAATCATTATCACTATGTTCTACATGAAGCACATGTTATTCTAAATCGATCCTTTCCTAAGTTAATGTTAATTAATCAGTTGTTTAAACATACATGTATAAACTTTAGCTCGATTGCGAAATAAGTTCTTGCAACTTATATCAAATATTTTCAGGTATATCTCATAGACCTAACTCCCTCAGGTGTCATATGAGAAATCATGGCCGTGATCGTAGTGAGGCTCGAACCCATGATCCATAGGTTGAGAGACAGACTGCACCGCTTCCCTTAACAGTTAGCTTAGGAGGTGTAGTGTATTTGTTGCATTAGGCACTGACATGTAATTGACAAACTGATTTGTTATAACCCGCCTGTCAAAACCAGTAACATTTGTTAAAATTGTACTTAAATACTTTTACGCGAATGCAATCATGTATTGACCTTCTAATTTTCCAGGATATATTGTTGGGTACACACTTTTTATTAGATTTAATGAAAAAATGTATAACTATATATTCCGCTAGATTGCGATTGAATATATGTGAAATGTTAACGTAAAGGGCAATAGTTTTGGAACGTACAAATGGCTAAAAACTTTACTTGTCATATTCATTCGCACGTGCTTATAAAATGTGATTAATTAAGGAGACTAATTTACTATACTCGATATGCTTCATGGTTATTGGGAAATGATATAACAGTTAACATTAGACAAAATTTATTAAATACATGCACTACCAACGCAAGTTACAACATAGCGCAATGAATTCATTTATATCGACCACCTACTACGACTTTTCTTTATTTAGATTTTATATTCAATGCATTTAGATAAATATTGGGAGCAAATATTTTGTTTTTCTTTCATCATTTCGTGTAATGTATAACTGAAAAGAATGTATTTTTAATAACCGATAATTCTACACAGTCTCTTTACCAATTTAAAATAAACATTTGTTTTTTGTTATTTTATTTGTCAGAACAAACATAGAAGATATTTTACATTCACTAAAGGTAAACACAATATAAAACATAGACTGTAGATGTGTTTTAGGGATATACCAAATTAACTTGACCAGTAATGGGAAATGCAGCTTCAAAAACATAGTTTGTACATTCTGTTAATAAAATTCGACATATTCAGTAAGAAGTTTCAAGATTTCCATAGATGTCAACAATAAAAATATATACTCAAAGATGATCATGATCATAGTACATGTTTTTTGTTTGATTGGGGTTTACGTCACGCCGACTCAGTATAGGTCATATGGCGACGTTCCAGCTTTACTGGTGGAGGAAGACCTTGGGTGCCCTTCCGTGAATTATTTCAGGCACGAATGGGAACCTGAGTAGAACCACCGACGTTCTGTAAGCTAGCTGGATAGCTTTCTCACATAAACGAATCCAAAGTCCCTGTCGGGATTCAAAACCCACAGCGGTGAGGGCCAAGTGGTTTGAAGTCAACGACCTTAACGACTCGGTCACAGACGCCCCTTTTTATAGTACATCTAAAGAATTTATGTATATAGAAAAATGATACTCTGAGATTTTGAATAAGACAGAAGGTAGAACACACACAGCTATAACCAGTAAGTTAGAAACATTTCACTTTGTGAAGCAATATGTCTATCACATGCCGCAAGTCGTAAAAAGATGAGAGCGTCCAGATTTGCATATCATACTGTCTGGAGATATTGTTTATTTCGCAAGCGCCAGAGTTATTTCGATGATTATTGAGATGTAACATGCTATTCTTGCAAAAAGACGGGAAAGAAATATTTTGGTATTGTGTTATAAAGCCAAGCTGAATCCTTCTGTTTAAGTTTGTTGCCCATATTGTTGCTTAACCGATGGTCTTTTGTATATGTGTATACGTTAAGTGAACGTCGCACTTCCTTGGCGTCCCTTCTTTTCACAACCTTACATTGGTCTGTGACTTTAACAATTTAGTAACCTTGGGACAAACAAAGGCCTTAAGCTTACTTTCTGTTATCATCAATCAGGCAAAATGGAGTTTAATACCCTGTATTATTCCTTCAACAAAAAACATATAAAGTTGGCATTGCTAGTAACTAATTAATCAAATGTACAGTGTCATGTGATAATAAAAGTATATCAATTTCTTTATAAATATTCAGATCACGATAGACGAAATACAAAATTATTGCTGTCTTAATGCGATATACCTTAAAAATAGTTAAATAAAACTTCCATAATCAAACTTAAGAAAAATGTAGATATGAAATAAATATTTTTTCACAATTCAGCTGAAACTTTGAATGTTTTATGTTAACAAAAGAATTACCCTGTTACCAACTGATTAAGATCATTTTACTCATTAGAAAAAATAATCAACAATGATTTATAGGCGTCGTGAATTAATTTAGCTTAAAGCTTGAACATAATCGAAATCATATTTACGCGCAATTTTACAGTTACGTTATATAACAATAAGGTACAAAGAAAACCATTTGCTTCACTTTACAAGGTACAATGAAAATCTTGCTGGCCTGGGTTGATTGAACTTGTTCGTACACGGTTATTGTTCCGGCAATCAGCCGTATGGTCTCTCAATATGTATTTGGTTGAGCAGAATAGTCTACATTCGCAAATGGTAAAGAAATTAAAGAAAGTAGAAGCACGAGGTGATCAATGAAAAACGGTTATATACTCCTATTTTAAACGTATGTATTGTATAAACTAAATATCTAAACAAACCGAATAATAAAGATGGATCAAAAATGACCATGATGTCGGTAAATTGTCAAATTCAAATATCTTAATACATGTTGGTAAAATTTGAAAAGCCAAAGTAACTAACATTTTAGCAATACGAGCATATGTTGTAAGGTTCATATATTGTATTATTTCAATATTATAGTACTTTTCTTAGTGATTTATCATATGTACAAATATGAGAATAACAGAGCTGGGTACTGATATAAGAAAGTATTATCTAACTGATCTCTTTAACAGAAGCGAGATGGTTTTGAAAATAGAAATGGTATATATTTAGTGTACTTTTCTACGTTAACCTCATAAACAGAAGCAACTTGTTAAGTATGAATGTAAATAGTGTCTTATATCTTTACCAGCTGCCTAATTGGATAAACCAAGTAGTGTATCTTGATACATGACTCCTGTCTGAGGTTTATATGTGATATGCATTCTAAGTTTTCTTTATATGTCAATGAAAAGTAAAATAAAATAGATAAAGCATTATGCTTGAAGTATTTAATATATGGATAGAGTCTTAGTTTAAGTGCTATCTGACTTTATAGTCAATTAATATCAATCTAATATATTGTTATATAAATAGAGGATATTCCAGTTTATTTTCTATGAATATAGAATTTATTTTCATCGAGTGGTATGAAAATAAAAATTTCGTGAGTGGCAGTAGCCCCGAATGAAATATATGATAAGACATAGGACAAGATGAAAAGGAATCATGTATTTATAGAATAAACTTGAACTTTCTGTTTATTATATATTTTTCTCTTTTTTTAATATTACAATTAAAAAGGCTTTCGCTTAAATTTTGTGTACTGGCATAATTTAGAAAAAAGATGTCCGGCAAGACATCAGTGAAAATACGGAAAATATGTTTCACTACATGAAAAATAAATTTTAGCAGTGAAAATACGGAAAATGAAAATACGCATTTTATTTCATCAATATTTCTCAATATTTCATTTATAAGTATATAATAATTATGATTATTTTTGATGAACCATAATATTTCATAAGCGCAGTCATATGAAATTTCTTTCCATTGCTATATAATTTTATTATTCATATTCGAATTGTTGATAAATAAAATTATCTTCACTCTCTCAATATTGTTTTACTATTTTCTTATATGTAACTTTGGCAACCTTTCCCCTTCTTTCTCAATCACTATAATCCAAATTTAAAATCGGAAATAATAAAAACTTTATATAGAAGGCAGAGAAAGCATATTTACTACTTCTTAAATACCAACACGCGTTTTTTATGTAAAACCATAAATTCCACGTTGTTGTGATGTTCCTTTCGTTTAAGCCATGTCCGAGTGATTCAGGTTTTGTAACACTAATTGTGGACGGTAAAAATAAATTTGTTCATCGAATTGAAATCACGTTGCAAGTGGCCATTTCATTCCAGTGAACTGAATTTTTCAAATTCTATTTCTGCTGTAATATATCAGAATATCATTAAAATATAAGCTAAATGGGGTTTTGTCTTAAGTTTTAAATTTATATTTACCTTCCTATCCTTTCCTGAATAAATAATGAATGTTACTATCTTCCAGTTTTTATTTGCCGCACAATATTACTTTTTTATTTCCAATGTTTTGTCTGTTTATTTATAACAATTAAATTATCATATTGTTATTTTGGTCATATATATAACGGCCATTTTCTGCAATGTAAACTGGTTTAATTCCATAAGTGTTCTCATCAAAATCCTTCTCAACCAAGTAAAACTTTGACTGTTTATGGTATGAAAAATATGATATAATGTTTATAATTGTAGCAAATAAAATATTCATGGTATTTGTTCAATTGTTTTTAAATACAACTCTCTTTTCTGTGTAATCCTTGCTTACGAAAATGTCATTTAATTACTTTAAATCGTTCACACACACAAAAACAGTCATCTAATAGGCTTTTAGTAATGCACTGATGTGCAGTTATGTCCGGAAATTCCATAAATGAATCCCATGATTACATAACACATTTCTCTCCTACAATCAAATTGCAGATAAACACACTATCTTTTGAAGATAAAAATCCAGATCATCTTCAGAGGTATTGAAGTATTTCAATTTTGATATAAAAGTAATATACGAGGAAGTTAATTCTTTCTTATCTCAAAAGAGATATCTAAGACACTACCATTCAACAGATAGAGGTCTGCTTTTATATCTACTCTCCAAGTGTCTGTTTATTGGCAGTAGCGCGAGCAGCGTTTATTTCTACAATAGCGCGAGACGCAGGCATCGTCTTGTATTGTCGTATCCTATGTTATTTTTTATGATTTAAAAATTAAAGATAGTCAGCAAAATAATTACACCTTACTAACGATGATGCCCGTTAAAAATATTTTCATTGAATAAATAAATCCGAGGCCAAAGTCTAATATACACACATGCTTGAGATTGTATATGAACGCTATATCATTTTCTTCTGTCAGAATTAAAGATATAACAGACATGCGATACTTTCAGTCTGTACAATAAGCCTCTATGTATAGAATATATACAAAAAGTCAGAAAAAGCGTTTCATAATAAGAGACTGTTTACGATTTTATTTTGTTCTCGTTCTGCAGATCTATTTTCGATTTTATGGGTTATAGTTATCGAAATTAAATTATCGAAATATGAAAATATTTTACTTAAAATGTAGGATCGGAAATAAATTTAACAATTTATAATGTTCGCATAATTTTCTTCTTTAATACACAAAGCACATAGATGTTAGTCTATTACGAGAGATTTATATACATTAGAAATTAATAAAATAATTTAAAGTTTATTTTGCCTTTGCTAAATGCACACCATACTCACAATACTGGTTCCTTAAACAATGTATTCACGCTATAAATATAAAAGTTACAATTTTCACGTTAACAGTTAAACTGATATGTGACCATTTCATAAATGTAAATGTTAGATATACTTACAGAAAATATAATAAAAATACCGTTTTTATCTCATACAAGCTCAATTACGTCCAGCTACTTATAGAGCTAAACTACATTTTCTGTTTAATTAGTTTGATTAAGCCAGCCAAACAATGATATGCTAGGAATACATCTAGGAGTTTTCTTCCAACATATGACAGAAGTTAATGAACTGGTTTTGGTCGTGTTGTATCATTTACGGAACAGTTCAAACAAGGTCTGTTTCTGTATGATTGGTGGATTGTATGATTCTAGTTTTTTTTTAATAGTATTCATGTTGTTTTTATGCTAAATTTGTAATTCCTTGAATGTAGATATTTTATAAAAAAAGAATTCAGGATATGTGTATAAGTATGTCATCTTAGCATTCTAACAAGTCATCTGTAATAATTCATTTCTTGAGCTTGCTATAAATAAAGTGTAATCTTATAATACTTATGCAGCCGGAAAGATAATGACGTCCTTCGTGTATTGAATAGTTCACGTGGTAAGTAGATCAACTAATCAAGTTTCCTTAACCAAAACAGCAAACTATTTTTACTAGCATATAGATTTGTTACAGACTATTAGAAAAAATAATAATGATGATGATGATAATAATAATGATGATAATAATAATACTAATAATAATGATAATAATAATAATGATAATGATAATAATAATAATACTTGTGTGCAATATAGTAAAGTTTATAAATTGTACTCATCTTTATTTGCACAAAAATGAATTTATACTAATGGTTATTATCATTCTAGTTATTATTATTATCATTATTATTATTGTTGTTGTTGTTGTGGTGGTGGTGGTGGTTATTATTATTATAATTCACTTTTTGCATTACAGTACAGTAACACTGTGTCATGTCATAAAATTTGTCTTCATTAGCAGAAACTGTATAACTCGTGACAAATGATATGAAGAGACCGTAATAATTTAGATTTTTGCAATGGTAACGTTTAACCACAAGCAACACTATATAACAACACATGACAATAGGTTCTATAATGTGCCCAAGCAACCCATTTACATTACGCATCATATCTAAACAAAAGAAACCAAAGGTGATATAAAGTACAAAATTCAAAATAGTACACTTTGATATGTCAATGCCTACCGGTTTAGGTAATATATTCAAACAACCGTTTAGAATAGGCCATATAACCTGTCACAAATTTTAATAGCTAATGATATACTTTTTAACATAGGGATTAATTTGTTTCCGAAGATAAATATAAACGAAAGCGTATAATAAACTTAATTTCACCGGAAAATTGATCGGACATATTTCTTTAATTCAATTTTGAAACTTGTATACAATTCCAAGTCAGTGGCAGTTTCATGTTAGAGAGTTCAAGCGGAGGTCACTGCATTAAACAGATACAGATGTTTATCTATTAATGTTAATTCATCATGTTAACATCGCAGTTGTTTTGTAGATTTTCATCCGTGTCTCATGCAATTGTTCCAGGACTTTCCTGCTTCTATAATTAGTGCCACTTAGTGGTTACGTTTCATGTTTTTACAGAATTAAACAATGCATTCCCAGCAAATTTCGTCGCGGTTTACTAATGTAAAAATATAATTAAACAGCATGCAATATTCAACGATTTGAAATAACTTAAAATGAACATTAATTGTTTAATTTCAAGTTCTAACACGAATAAAATCATAAATATAGGAAACGTAGGCAGCACAACATGTGTGTAATAAAATGAATGTAGGTCAATACTGAAAATATTGAACAGGTTGAGCAAACTATTTTATGCGAGCATTTAGAAAGCAAAATATTTTCCAACGTAGAAATGTAGCTTATCACGTACCAAAAATATTAAGAAAACGATCACTTTTTCTTTGCTATGTTTGTAAACAAAAATACAACACGCCAAAATATATTCACGGCCATGTAGTACTGTTTTTGCGGAGTCGCAAAAGCAGCACATTTATGTGGTTTATGACTGTAGGTTCAATACTAAAATTTATTGTTGTACGAGATGAACAAAAATATATTATTTAGCCTCTGGTGAGTCAGTCTGTTTTGACAAAAAACAACAACAAAAAGAACACACCCAAGCCTACGGCCTTTGGCATCGAAACTCCAAACCGGTATTAAATAGCCGATAAACACCGAGTTGACCAAAAAAAAATTCTTAATTAACAAAGAGACAAAGACATCTTTACATCCAATGTATCGAAATATACACCTGATTCACATGTTGTATAGATTCTTGATAATCCACAATTTAATTGAACAGTCAGATCTCATGTAGAAAACATGCTCTTTCCAAGGTACGAAAGAAAATGACCGTAATGTGAAAACTGTGCTTAATTTAGAAACTAACTATAATGTGAAAACTGACCGAAATGTGCAAGTTGACAGTGATGTAAAAACTGACGATAATGTGAAAACTATGCATAATGTGAAAACTGATTCTAATGTAAACAATGACCGTTATGATAAAACTGACCATAGTCTGAAAACTGACCATTATCTGAAAACTGGCCATGTGAAAACGGACAGCAATGTAAAATCGGACAGCAATGTGAAAACTGACCATATTCTGAAATCTGACTATAACAGAAACATGTTATTAAAAGAAAGAAAGAACATTAAATGATTTTTTTCTTCTTGTGCTTTTGTTATGAGCTTGATTTTAACATATTTGACTAAGGGTTTTCAATTAACTACATTGACATGTTATTTGACATAACATGTCAAATGTACAACAAAGTCGTCTACATTAAATAGGATGTTTTGTTTTGCTTTAATCAAAGATAACGCGCAAAATAATGTATTCAATATATAGGATGTACATAAGCAGACTGCTCCTTGATCATCATTAATATACAGAATAAACATGCTGCTTTGGGTTTTCCAGCATTACATATTGAAACAGTATTGAAATGATTGCTTTCCGTGTACACATAAATACACCTTCATGATAAATGATCATACAGCATGCTTGAATGTAATTTATAAATATGCATGAGTAAAACAAATAACTACAACATTTTTTCTTGCGTTTTTGTGGGATATGTCTGCCTTTCCAATAATCATATAGAATAAAGTCTGCATTGTTTTTAATAGTTATTTATTTATAAATAAATCAAATAAAATAATATTATTGATATGTCTTTTTTGGACTCGCGATGTCAAAACAAATGATGACGGCGCTTATATGAACGGTTTAAGGTTAAATGTATTCATACTTTAATTTATACAATAAAATTGTTATAAAAGAAACAAAACAAAAACTCTCTGCTCTGTCAAACATAACTCCTGTGAAAGCTTCAGTTAATATAACCATTCAAAGGTATATCTAAGTTCCCGTGTGATGACTAAAATTTGTATCAACTTGTGTTTATTATTAATGAAAAATAAAACTTTGTAGGACGAAGGCGATGTCAAACACAGCTACCCCCATAGCAAAATATTTCAGACAATATCTACATAGCAATATATCAAACAAAGTTTATGCCAATAATATGATATAAAATTGAGACGTGCTGATGTTTTTAAACACGTATAAACAATAGTACCGTATATTTCCCTAGTATAATAAAATGATGTTTTTTAGTTTGTTTTTTCTTAATGTAAATTGAAATAAGCAACACTGATTTGTCTGGCAAATGTGTCGATATGTTTCCATTAAGCCCTTTAAACAAAACGCACTGGTGTCAACTAATACAAAAATAGATCTTTCAGATTTTTAGAAATTTGGTAGAACAGTTAGTTAAATATATTAATTATGTTCGTGAAAGACCAATCTTCCTGGTGTACATAAATAAGAAAATATTTTCTCACTTTTTTTTTATAGGATTGCCTACTTTTTCATGTAGAATTAATACTCAGAAAATGAAATGCTTTACCTGGAAATTGTATTTGGCAGTATATGTTTTAAGAGAAAGAACATCTCAAAGGAAAATATTGTAGGTTGGACGCTGTCAAGTAAAGCCCCTATCTGAAGACGCCTCTGTAAACGTAATTTTCATAAGTCAGTTCGACTAAACCAATACCGCAATTTATCTTAACACATTGATAAAACATAATGGGAGAAGATAGTGCCTGGACTGTCTAGAAAGAATAATGATACTCAAGATTTAAGCCGCTTATCTTGCGGCAAAAACAATGTCAATAAGTTCTGTGTAGCGTCTGGTTACAACAAAAAACAACCGTTTTCTTAGCTAAGGCAATTACTAGTATAAGGAATTTCATAAATAATGTATATATATCAAAGTCATATCAACTTCCTCTCTTAAAATATGTAATTACA